CATCATATAGATCATTCTGACGACCATTCTGCAATTGACGCTGCCTCAGCTCTTGCCCATTCTACTCGGGGTCCAGGTTATCATAGGCTCGATGGTGGAAAACTGGCTTTAAATACTTCATCCGCAGTCATATCGCATGCCGATGGATTGCCTTATGAAATTGGTTTTGATTCTATAGATCAAATAGCCGCTTTTCCAGCGTTTTCTGGTCATGATCCTGGCCATTCTATACGCGTTTCTGGGATTCCCAGTATCAGAACTTCCAATTTCGGAACAGTTTGTAGTGCGGGAACAATCGGTTCTTTGAATGGAGTGCATGCAACTACACATGACGCTTCAGAACTCTTTGTAATGGATCATACCACAAATCCCGTCGCTGACGGCGTTCTCGCTTGTCCCGTTTTACATAACCTCTCTCATGCTTCTGTGGTTTCAGCAGTTCCTGAGTCGTCCGGGCCTCTCTTTCGGCATTCAAATGAATTTTATATGATAAATGATAACGACAACATTGAAATTAACTGGCCAACCTCACCTGGTGGTGGGGCCACTATTTCTCATGGCACAGTGTAATCTACGCGCATGCATTTTTGCTGCCACGCGGATGCGTCCGCGTTTACTTCCTTTCTCTTGTTTATTTGAGATTTAGTCGTTTGGGGCTTGCCACCGGCGGCAATCATCTCCAAGTACAATTATTTTATATATTTGTCAGAAGAATCTTTCATTGTAATCAACATATTTTACACCTATGCTTTTCCAGAATATTTTCCTGCAATGCCAGGTGGTTTCTGGTATTGTGCTTTGCATTTGTTCAGTTATCTATTTTGTTGACGTGTACAGAATATCTTGGCACTTTCCTTCCTATGAAGGCATTTTGCTCATTCGGCTCGTTTATGTTAGCCAATTGTATATAGCAGTCTAATATTAGTCGTCACTCATTTATGGAGTACGCGACACTTCATCGTTTGGATTTTTATTTTTACTTACCCCTGTAAAGATTGTGCAAACCTCACATAAAAACGTTTTGAACACGCTTCTGGTGTCTTCTTTAAACATCTAGGCGGTAAGATTTATGTGCTGCCAACCTACCTAAAAGGTTAGCTTCATATGAAAAAAGATTGGGTTTCGGACTCGGTGGCTTCATGTAATTGGGCCCTTCGTTTCGTTTGAGAAGGGTGTGAATTGATCATACTGGGGTTACAAGGAAGATTGACTTAGAGTCGTTAGTTTATATTGAGGGGTAGCCTTTGGTGCATCGTTCCGCGACTAGCAAATCCTGTGCGAAGCCATTCTATAGCAAAAATTTAGAACGGGCCAGGAATGGTGGCCAACTGCGATGCTGTTTGCTTTTTAGCCAATTTTGCTATCTTAATGGGGCAACCGAACTGATTCGTTGGTTACGGGGTAGTCCGTAACTCCAGGATAATTATTTCCGATGGGACTGAATTGCGGATCCGATACACTAAAACGGGACGAGCATAGACCCCTCCCGAGTGGGGCGCACCTATTTTTATCTTTGCGGTACTGTTCCCGCCGATGTGGCAAGGCCATCTACGTACTAATATGCCCACGATTTATTATCCTTGGTACGGCTTATAAGAGATGCTTCAGGCTAATGATTCGATTTTACCTTAAAGCTACCCAATTTGCTCTTTCCCAAAATTTGAATGAATCCCGTTCTGGGGCCTCAAAAATTCCGGTTGCCTAATCCAAATTCCTTTATATTATACTTTGGCTCGAGACGCTTGTTAGAGTACGACCGGATTCATGTGTCTTGTATTTCTCTGATATTTATGCGGGTAGTATTTTTATATACGTGAGATGTATTCACTTTCTCATTTAAGGTGATAAAGAGCTTTTAATTGAATTTTTCCCTCAATTATGTAAGTAAGCCTTACGTTTCCAATTAATTTCACATAGCCTTGTTTCCCAGAAGGTGTTATTACGTTTATGCTCATTAACTCATTGCCTGGGCGAATTTTGAATGTTCAGAATATACTTATAAATATGCAATTATACAAAGGATATAATATTACTTTTGTGTGCACCTCTGGCTTTATCCAAAATAGAATCTATTTTACAATTCACTTTAGAGAAATGTTATAGGTTCGGATATTTTATTCTATTTACTTACTACTAATCTTAAATCGATTGATGGAATAACAGATGCAGTTTAGAAGTTGCTTGACTTTGGTTTCGCAACTTGGTCATATTAGCAGGAGGACCTGGAGGAACGCACCTTGTCCAGGGTCCTGCTATATACTCCTGTCCGGATCTGCCTCACGGGCCCGCAGGTTGGTTTCTTATCTTTCTTGTTGACCGATTTCACTCGGTTCCAGCCCCAGCGTACTTTTAACTCTAGGTGCTATTTCTCAAGTCTTCAGTAGCACGTACAAAGTCGCCTTATCTTCAGATCACCCATGCCTGCGGATATTAGGCATTATTTTCACATCATCTCCTTGATTACGCCTGTGGATCATGAGCAAACTGTGGACAGCTATCTCTGGTCGCCTGCTACAGCTCAAGTGGATTATTAGCCCATTTTCTTACAAGGTCCGATTAATGTGACCCAATCTCTCCCCCTAGTCACGTGAAACGTCAGGCCCCCAAAGTTGTAGTTGCCTATTCGAGCTGACTACACTCACTGAGAACGTCTTCGCTTAATTTGCGAAACTTCCTCATCCTCTTCTTCCTTGCGATCCCTTTTCCTCTGGTTTACGATAGATCTTTGATCCAGGCGTCTCATTTTTGCTTGTCTTCTTGCATACCTGTTTTCTCCTAGTTTGATTAGGCAATAGGCATAGTTATTGCTGACTCTGCCTTCTTTTAATCTCCTGCTCATTAAATATTTTCTCCAAAGATGTCACTTACTTCCATAATCTTCCGTTTTTTGTGCTTTCACTGTATGAAGCCCTTCTTTCTTTTGCCTTCCAATTGATCTTGTGTCCAGTTTCTGCTGTGTTCCGCTATATCTGATCTTTCAGTATCCATTTTCCTGCACAGCCCTTGATGTTCCTTGATTCGTATGCCGATTTTTTCTCTCAGTTTCGCCCATGTATTTCTGTTCGCAGACGCCGCATGTTATGCAGTATTACGGACTTCGGACAAAATGCGTTCCTCCAGGTCTTCCTCATGCTAATATGGCCAAGTGATTTTAACTTATTAAACGTACATTTTGAAATAATAAAGCATCTATTTAAGAATGATTAACTTGTTTTATTTTGCCGAATAAGTTGTTGACCAAATATGACATTCATCCTCAAAGTTGGTAAGTTAGCATCTTATCTGTTCTTTTTCAAGGGATTCTGAGCTAGGCCCTATTTTGTTCTTAGCCCTGCTTGAATAACCTAATAGCCAGTCCTTATTATGCCTTCATTCTCATATATTATATGCTAATCAAATGCCATTTAAGTAGTATGAATTACTTGGCTTTGCTATTTACTACGAGTAATCAATTCAACCAATTAATCTATGATTTTTCGATGGGTTAATTAATTTTGATAAAAACCTTAGTCATACTAGGTCATAAGATCATGTAAGATTGGTATTTGAATTTTTCGCATCAAGATGCGAGGGAATAGAGGATTCGAGAACATCAACAATTCTTGAGTAAGAACTTATCCATCCTAGATCGCTTCAGGTAAGCTAAGGAGTAAAAATATAATTTTTACCACAATTATTAGCTGGCTATATAAGTCCATTGAAGTTCACTCAGCCCTGCCTCCCAAAAGGCCTTATTTTTTAAGG